ACATGAAAAAATGTGCTCTATTTGTGTAATATGAATTGAATTGCATTCTGCTGTCATATATAACAAATTAGAATAAGTTAAATAAAAAAAGAAATAAAGGTGACAGGGGAGGGAGAAGGGAAGGGAGAAAGGGAGGAATAGGTGAAGAACTGGGGGAATGAAGCAGACCAATTTATGCTATGTGCATGTATGAAGATGTCACAATGAAATCTACTATTATGTATAACTATAATGCACCAATAAAAAAAATTTTTTAAAAGAAAACCATGTCTATACCTCCAACAATACAAAATTATACATGTACCAAGCATTTATTCACTATAGCATTATTAGTAATTACAAAATACAGGAAACAAACTACCCATATATTGGAGAATGAATGGCTAAATAAATTATGCTATACCCACACAGTAGGCTACTATACAACTATGAAAAAGAATGTGAATGAGCTCTATGAACAGACATAGAGAAATTTCTAGGTCATACCATTATGTGAATAAAAAAAAAGCCCCAAAGACTGTATCAACTCATAACCTTATATGTATACAATTTTAAAGTCAATTATATATCAATAAAGATGGGGAATAAAAATTAGTGAAAGTCCTAAACTGATTGAAACTGTCATAATAAAAACAACTGACATATTTGTAAATGCTTCTCCCAAAGTTAGTAACTTAAAATTAAACTTCATACCAAAATTTTAATGAAGACTTTAGAGAACCAACTACTTTGTGAATAATCACAGGTAAGCAGTAATTTTATGAAAGTTTGATGTGCGCTATAACAGTCTATTAAAAATATTGACATTTTACTTCACTCATCTGTTCATATGTTGTTATTTTACTTTACTATAGAGTTTCAAATAGAACTTGGATAAAAAAGGAAAAAAATCAAGTATTTATATTACACTACCCTGCATATAAGAAAGAATGGTATATAAGAAAATACTCAAGTATTGTTCAATTTTACAGAAAAAATATAACAAAGATAAACCAGAAATGAAAGATTGGTTTACTCTAGGGGTGGAGGGCTGAACGAAGGGAGAAGTGGGAACGTCAACACAGGAGCATGGGATAAAGAGAGATAATCTCTGAGTATATCTCTTTTAAGCTCTTACTCCTAGTACTCCAGTAATATTTCACATATCCTGCAAAATAAAACAAAAATTTGAGGAAAACTGAAAAAAGGAATATAAGCACTAATGAATGAATCTAACTTCATTTCAAAGGAATAATACAACACTAATGGGGTAGGGAGAAAACCTAATCTAAATAACTTTGGAAAACAGTATCTTGACTAAATACTACAAACCCAAAGACAAAAAGAACTGTACTCAAATGCTGTAACATAATTAGGGAAAGTGTTTCTTCCGAACATATGTATTATCCTTTCTGAAATTACTTTATTTGTACACCAGGACTGCACAAATAGGAGCTGGGTTTCTTACTACTGAAGAAAGAAGTTACAAATACAGATGGAGAAAGGCTAAATAAACCTACTATTATGTATAAACCCTGTAGTATAAGACTGAAATGAGGTTTCAGTTCATGGTTTTTAAAATATAAATACAGATGGATGAATCAGAAATAGAGATGTATGTACATACGTAGGTTGATATACACATGCATATTTCCAAGCTTTGCCAGCAGGACCTACAAGCAATGGCACTTGAGCAGAACTGAGCACATCTAACACCCAGCTCTTGGTTTCTGAACACCATTCTTCAACAAAAGGAACTAGGGCTCTTTGGAGAAGTGGTTGATTTCAGGATGGGGGCAAGAAAAACAAAGATTAACCTGAAACATTTTTTTGGTTCAGAAATTAGAGAAGCACTCAGAAAAAGTGTATGGGGGTGATGCTGTTGAAAGAATAAAAGAAGCATTCTGAAGGAGCTTCTGTTGGCCAAAGCTGGAACAATGAGAGCAACAAACTAAATAATGATGGTATTGGATTTTAAATCATAAAGTAAGTATTTGAGAGTTCCTTAGAATATATTTTTAATTTTTTAATTTAATTTTTTCTAATTTGTTATATATGACAGCAGAATGCAATTCAATTCATATTACACAAATAGAGCACATTTTTTCATGTCTCTGGTTGTACACAAAGTAGAGTCACACCATTCGTGTTTTCATACATGTAATTAAGGTAATGATGTCTGTCTCATTCCAGCACCTTTTCTACCCCTATGCCTCCTCCCTTCCCTTCCCTCCCCTTTGCCCTATCTAGAGTTTGTCTGTTCCTCCCATGCCCCTCCCATCCCCATTACGAATCAGCACTCTTATATCAGAGAAGACATTCAGCATTTGTTTTGGGGGGATTGACTTACTTTGCTTAGCATGATATTCTCCAACTCTATCCATTTACCTGCAAATGCCATGGTTTTATTCTCTTTTAATGCTGAGTAATATTCCATTGTGTATATAAACCAGTTTCTTTATTCATTCATCTACTGAAGGGTATCTAGGTTGGATCTACAATTTAGCTATTGTGAATTGTACTGCTATAAACATTGATGTGGCTGCATCACTGTAGTATGCTGTTTTTAAGTCCCTTGGGTATAAACTGAGGAGTGGGATAGCTGGGTCAAACAGTTTTCCAAGGAATCTCCATACTGCTTTCCAGGTTGGCTGCACCGATTTGCAGTCCCACCAGCAATGTAAGAATGTGTCCTTTCCCCCACATCCTCCCCAACACTTATTGTTGTTTGTATTCTTAATAGCTTCCATTCTGACTGGAGTGAGATGAAATCTTAGAGTAGTTTTGATTTGCATTTCTCTAAATGCTAGAGATGTTGAACATTTTTTCATATATTTGTTGATTAATTGAATATCATCTTCTCAGAAGTGTCTGTGCAGTTCTTTGGCCCATTTATTGATTGGATTATTTGGGGTTTTTTTTTTTTTGTGTGTGTGTGTGTGTGTTAAGTTTTTTGAGTTTTTTATATATCCTAGAGATTAGTGCTCTAACTGATGTGCATGAGGTAAAAATTTGCTCCCATTCTGTAGTAAATAGAGACTCTATAAATATTTTTAAAAATTTGAAAATTAAATAAGTTTGGGTAAAGGGACAATTCTTCCTTTTGATAGAGTTCCACTTAATAGATAGAAGACAAGGAATAAGAAAATAACTATCAGACAAACATCAAATCATTCCAGACAAATCCATCTGTAAACCAAATTTGACAGCAAAAAATTGAAAAGAAATAAGATTTGCATAGTCCAAGAAAATCACCCTGGGATGGGGCTGTAACTCAGTGGTAGAGCCCTTGCCTAGCACATGTGAGGCACTGGATTTGATCCTTAGCATTACATAAAAATAAACACATAAAGGTTATTGTGTTCATATACAACTAAAATTATTTTTAAAAAATTAAAAGAAAGAAAATCACTCCAAGAAATTTATCAATTCAAAACAATGAATAACAGCAAATTTACAGTAGAGAAACTTGGCAGATATCACTTTAATCATGTGACCAAACTTATTATCACCATTAATAAGATAATTCAAATCATGAAACTCTTAGATATGATGATGTATGAGGATTCAATGCCCCTTCTATGTTATTGTGTGCCAAATGTGCATTGCTTCATTCCAATTATGAGAAAATGCCAGCACACTCAAACTGACAGAAAGTCTACAAAATAACATTAAAAATATTAAAAGCATCAAGTTCATGAATGACAAAAATACTTAGAAACTGTTACTACTGGAAGAGACTATGAAGAAATAAAAACTCACTGCAACACACACACACTCCTGAGAAAAAGAAAGGATATCAGTAGAAAAACTAATGAAGACCAAGTAAGGTGTGTAGCTTGGTTAACAGTATTATACCAGTATTGAGTTCACAGCTTTAATAATTAACTGTAGTATGGTTGTCTAAGGTCTTAAAAGTAGAAGAATATATAGAAGCTCTCAGTATTTTTTTTTTAAACTCATCTAAGGTAGTCCTAACAAAAAGCTAAAATAATTAAAATCTGAAAATTCTACAATAGTACCCCCCCTTTTTTAATGTAAATACAGCTGGTATAGTAGCTTTAAGAACCCTACACGTCCACTCACATATCCATGTTAAGCTATCCAAGACAATCCAAGAGGCTGGATCTGCTGGGCAGGGTTGCTTACATACACAGCTCTCCATGTACAAATTGATACTATGAACTCCTCTCCTTTGCTTGCTTTTAACCCTCGTCCACTATGATAACGTAGTGACTTTTTTCCTCATAATAGTTTATACTATGCTATAGCTCTGACTACACTAGTGTAGTTTTAAAATTCATCATTTTAGAGTCCTATTTTTTGGGGGGTGGGAGTATTGGGGATCAAATCCAATGCCTTGAGCATGCTAAGCAAACACTCTACCACTGAGCTAGATTCCAGAACTTAAGAGTCTTAAAACATAAACAAATGCCTAGGGTTTAAGACTGTTGAGTTTCTGACCTATTTTTCATGCTCAGGTAAAAATATACCACTGTTATGTTCTTCCCAATTCATTAAAAAAAACATTCTTCCATTTTAAAATTAATTAATTACTTTTTAGAGCTGGGGATTGAACCCAGGACCTCATGCATGCTAAGCACATTAGCTACACCTCAAGCCCCCAATATTTCTAATTTAAAGAATTACTTTCTTACTTGGAATAAGCTGGAGAAACCCAATATGGGTTGTCTTCTGCTGCTTTGGCATGACGCAAAATGGCTTCCCTGGGATTACTGTCATCAGTCTTGTCCAGAGCAATGTTCTTCACGATGTAGGAAGAAAGAGTACCTCCATGGGTTCCAACTCGGCCACCACGACCTGTTTCAGAAGGGGAAAAAAATCAGAAACAGCACTAACATGACAACATGTTGCTAGCCCATGCACACTGTGCTTACCTGAACATGATCTCAACAGCACTTGTGTATAATCCTTTCAGCCATCATAATAATCAGAACCAAAGAAAGAAATCATCAAACTGCAATTTTCCCATAAAGTTTTTAAATAGAAAGAGACTTGAAAAGATTGTTATATCTTAGTTGCTTAACTTACAGAATGAGTAATGAATTACAAATAATTTGCCTTAAAACATACATTTCCTCCAGCAAGCTGGGGTTATGGCTCAGCGGTAGAGCACTCGCCTAGCATGTGCAAGGCTCTGGGTTTGATCCTCAGCACCACATGAAAATAAATAAATAAATGAAATAAAGGTATTGTTTCCAACTACAACTAAAAAAATATATTTAAAAAAATTTCCTCTAGCATGAACACTTAAAATTCAATAAATAAGCAATATTCATTAGATGCTATTTTAATGTTAAACAAATTTATCTTCCCATATTTTCAAGTACTTTATAGGCAATCTCCTGGGCATTATTAGAGAAAACAAAAGAAATGGTCATATAGATTAACATTATTTTAGGGTACTATAATTGTCCTAGTGGACAAGAATCTCCTTAAGGGCAAGGATTTGTTCCCAACTGAATCCCTAGTACTTCAAAAATGTCCAACTTTTTAAAAAGATAATCAAGAAGAAACTTTTTAAAAGGCACAGAAAAATTAACTGTCAGAGAAGTTGTGTGGCCAATTATTATTAGGGCACTTAGAGGAAGGACAGCACTTGAGGCTGGGGTGGTGCACAGGTCTTTCTGAAAGCAATGGATTCATTTCAGGGAGGCTCAGAAGGCAAGGAATGCCATTTTCAGAAAACAGAATGGATAAGCATAAAAATGTGGAAAGAGAAATTCAAATAGTGGGGCCAGGAGGGAACCAACAGTTTATCAGAAGGTCAGAATAAGGGAGAAGTGAGGTTTAAAGCTACAAAGATGTGTTAGAGTGAGACATGGAGAATCTTCACCCTCTGGAAATAGAAGTGCACAGCAGGAAGCTCATGAAAGTTTGGAGACAGTAGCAACGTGAAAGCTAGAGGGGATGGAGATAAAGCTATGTATAAGATGATGGAGGTGGAAAAGCAACAGGAAGTGACTTGAAATACCACACCTATGAAGAAGGGTTCTGCAACAATTCAGGCAAGAATGTTATTTAGGAACTTTGACTAGGCTAAAAATGAAAAAAGTTAATAGAAGTAGACACGTGAAATATTTTCAGTGCTGAAAGGCCAATAGATAGAGGTCCAGAGCTCAGGCTCAGATGAGTGACCAAGTCAAAAGCTACAGACTTGGGAGCATAGCACCAATGGAAACTACACAGGGTGATGGCACAAAGTAGAATTCCAGTGAAGGTGTGTGTTGTGAAATAGCTGATGCTGCTTTGCTTAATTCCGACACCCATTTTCTTGAAGACTCTAAGGATTTTTACTCATCTTCAACTGATTTGGGCAGCTCCATTTTCTCAACACTGAACTAAAGGATGGTCACCTTCTGCCTTGTATGAAACCTAAGCTAGCCTGGATTCTGGTCAAAGTGCCCCATGTTGTACATTAAGCCAATATTAGAGGAATGGTTTTAATGCCATGTTCCAAGGAGCCCCAGAGTTCTACTACCTACAGGGCTTAAGTTGGAGACAGCAGAAAGGGGCCCAGGCTCCCCCTCCCACTTAGCACAGTACATCTTTACCAATTTCACACACTGCAATTCTGCATTAGATCTTTAGGGGAAATGTTCTGGTTATTAAAAATAAAACATTTGAAAACATCAATCTAGTAAAATCTCTCTGAAGATAAGCAACAAGGACCAAAAGATTTTCCCATATCTGTATCAGTGACCTCACCCTGCCCCTCACCCCCTCTGCAGGTCACTAGTTGGATCATAGTCACCTGGGCCTGCTACAGGAGGTTCAGGTTTGTGTGACTTTAGGGGGTCCAGTCTGTCCTTCTCCAGCTGTTTCCTGGTACTCCGTTGGCGGGGCTCACGGAACATAGGCAAGGCATGAGCTGCAAGAAGTCACAGTTGAAAAATTTCATTATAATAACAACTTTTCATCCAAAAACATAGCTGAAGCATGACTAACTGAAAGATGAAATGGAAGTCATAATGACAGCCTTCATCTAATAATAAAAGACAGTCTTACTGTAACCAATTAGCCAATTTTGTCTGTTACCAGACTCATTGTTCACCTCTCCTGGCAGTTAATGGCACTTAGGAAACACCATCAAAATCTGTCACAGAAACATTGGTGAGGATCCCTGTCTCCCAAACAATGGGTAACAATTAAAATTTAATTTCTTTGGTTTTGAAAAGAAACCCTATCGGGGACTGCCTCTTTATTTTTTCTTATAGGACCCAAATGTGAGTAATGCCAATAGCTTGCCTGTCAGCCCCAAAGTTTCCTCAGATGCCTCATAAACACTGGACTCACTTCACACGTTTCTGAAATGTGACCACCTCTCAGGAGGAGTTGACAACACTGAGTAACCGGAAGGGAGGAGCACTTATCCCAATGAAACTGGGATAAAGGTTGCCCTGAATGCAGGGGTGCATGATTCTCCTGGCATGGAGACTGATGGGGCCTTACCCCTCCTTCTACATGGTGCACAACACAAGATGATAAAAAATCAAAGTTATATTTGTTCAATTGCTGTTGGGTGTTTGCTCAATCTCAGAATTAAATTTCAGAAAACAAAAGAGTATTAGAATTTAAAAGGTAAACAGAACAATATTCTGGGGGAGAGGGAGAAGATTACTGGAGGGAAATATTTAATAACCATCTTATTCTTGGCCACCATAATTTCAGCCCTTTCTCACAGATTAAAACTTCTTTTAAAAGAAAAGAGTATCAGGATAATGAATATAAAGGTTTAAGGAATTTTTAAAGAACTAATGAAATATCTCTAACACCTCAAAAACGCTTCCAACATCCTCTCCTACCCGTTACCCCTTTACTGCCAAGCAGGGCCAGACTATGCTTACTTGGAGTCCGGGGAGCTGAGAAACAGCCACTCGTCACTCTGTCAGGCAGCACAACACACAGTATTTTTAGGAGGGGGAAAAATAGCTTTTCACTTCAAACGATGGCAGGAATTTAAGTAGGCCGCGTGTAATTACATGAGCTGGGCTGGTTATGACACCGACTTTAACACTTCTACTCTTGCAAAAAGTGTCATGGGATCTCATGACTGATCATAAGCTCCAAAGGACTTGGTCTTATGTGAGACCCACCACAAGGGAGAAACCCAGCAGTATAGCGCCCCCTGGGCTTTACAGGGAGACACTGAGAAAGTCCACAAGGCCACTCACTAATAATTGCTGTCACATCCTAGATTTCCTTCTAGACATCACCTGTTACAGGTCAGAGGCCATGGCTCTGGGAATACAGATCTGTCAGATTAAAGAGTTTGTGTAACAGAACTGAGAAAAGTCACTCTGCCCTGCTAAGCTTTCTGTTCATACCCCTGATTGTTATTTTAGATATAAAGCCTCCAGATTGGTCTAGCTCATGGTCACACATTTCAGAGGGAACTGCAAGAGACCCTTCATCTAGTCTCCAGGCTCTCCTGATGAATTTCAGTCACTCAACCTCACATTGTCAGTCCACAGTGCAACAGGACAAACCGGAGACTCCTGATTCTATTTTTGGTACTGGGGACTGAACTCAGAGAAACTTTACCACTGAGCTACATCCCCAGACCTTTTTTGAGAAAGGGTCTTGCTAAGTTGCCAAGGCTGGCCTTGAACTTATGCCCCTCCTGCCTCAGTTGTGTAAGTCACTGAGATTATAGGCTTGCACCACACCTAGCTCTAGGCCTCCTGATTCTAAGACCAGCACTCTTTTTTCTTAATTCATAGAATAGACTGTTGTTCTTTAAAAGACTGCCATAGAGCAATGCAGTAGGCTCATATAGGCTCTTCACATTTGTGTTGGAAGGTATGTGAGGCCATGATGAGTCACAAGCTGAAGGGATTAGGGATTATGTGATTTGTGCTTCTGTGCACACGATGGGAGGTTTTGTGACATATACCTGAACTCTGAGGGCTTTTAAGAGAGAGGTAGTGAGACATATGACTGACAGGCATGCTAACTTACGAGTGATGATGTAGTCCTGGGTTAGAGTCTCAGCTTGTTTCGCCTTCCGCTGAGTTTTAACCACACATAATTTTGCTCCCCTGAGGGGTGAATAAAAAATTATTTTATTTATTTGGTTTTAGGAACAGAAAGTCTATGTTGAAAGCATCAGATACTTTGAGGAACACACCCCGTGCATGGTCTTGTCAAATCCTGGACTTTCTGAGGGAGAACAACAGATGGGGCCTCAGTGATAGGGATTATTAAACTAACAGACATGCATGTCTGTCAGAGGTCACTACCAAGTAAAAGGGCTAGAGAGGTATGAGGGTACCAGGACACAAGTTAAAAAAAGAAAACCTATAAAACTTACTTAAAAACTTAATATGCTAAAGAAATACTAACAAAATTAACCACCCTTTACACTTTAAAGGCCATAGGGTTCAACATTTATATCCCAGATGGAAGCAGCCTGGGTGGTCTACACCCCAAGTGGCATATGTCCACATCTCAAATACAAAAGTACAAGTGTCTGGAACAGAGTTGGCTTGGCAGTATTGCCAAGGGGCTACAGCCCAAGAATGTGTGGGATCAACCAAAAGTGTGCTTAGAACACATTACTTCACCTTAGCCATGCTGAACTATCCCTTTTAGGAGAAACAAATATAAATAAGCAAATTTCTTAAAGATTTCAAATAAAGATAGAACCCTTCTTAACAAATTCTTCTCAAATAAAGCTTATCACTTTCTCAAGTGAAATGACGCTGGTTTATACTAATAACATTAGCATTTTCAATCTCTTTGTTATGAAAAAAAATCTTACTTATTCTTAAGTATCATAATATATAACTTTATTTTATAGGGTCAGATTCCAACTCTAGCCCAGAAAGGATTAGGGATGTCTTCTACCACATACAGCAAAATTATGGTCAATGAATATTCATTTAATAAGAGGATGACTTTCCTTTCCTCGGAAAGTACATGAGACTCAAAACAGGTGAATCTAATGTGACATTTTTTAAAATATGTTTTTAGATGTTGACAAACCTTCATTTTATTCATTTATTTATTGCGATGCTGAGAATCAAACCCAGGGCCTCACATATGCTAGGCAAGTGCTCTACCACTGAGCCACCACCCAAGGCCCTAACATGTGAATTTTAATTCCAGCTATCTGATGCTCCCTCTAAAGACAAATCAGTGCCTGTACCATAAGAGACAGAAATAAACAATCTTTTTGAAAGTGGTAACATATGTCTATCCTTGTGCCCAAAGAAAATGGAAATACCTGAGGGACTGACAGCCTTTCCTGAAGTTTTCAGACCTTGGAAAAACACTAAAATGCTTAAGTTTGACATCTGGGTGGCCTGGGGATTTGAGGGAAAAGCATTTGTGCTGTACCCTTCTGCTAGGAGAGAACAACCTTTCCAAACATCCAAACTGGTTACCTACTAAAAGCCAAAAAGAAAGGTAACAAAATGGACAAGCCATTCCCATTTCCTGTAAGTGGTTAGTTGCCTGCTTTGTTAATCCCTCACATGCATCACTGCTAATGCCACTGTCCAGGGTGGTATGCAAAGTGGGCAGGACTTGCTTCCCCCTTGCACTCAACATTTCAGCTAAAGAACTGCAAATCCCCAGGAAACTATCACTTTAAATTCAGTATGGATCAAGGGTGATATCTAAATCCTCTTTAAAGCACAATGCTAGGAGTTTGAGGCTTTACTCTGTGCCAGCTGCATTTTCTAAAAGGGTGATCCCCATCAAAGGGGGAAATAAATAAAAGCAGGGGTGAAAAGAAGCCCTCCCCCCAGTTGTTGGCATCCATCTAAAACAGGTGATACTTAATGAAATACCTCTGACTCTTATTGGGATCATAATAGACCTTTGCCAATCCATTTCCAGTTCCAACCATGATCTGGTTCAACTTTGGATGCCACAGACAGCGCACAACACTCTGAAAAGTAAAGGCATGGAAGTCAATAAAGAGGCCTAATAAAAATGGGGAAAATCAAATATCATTCTGATAATAACCTGTAACTTTTAGGACATCTTCTAAATTATAATGTTGTATGCTTGAGGCTAGATTCCATTCCATCACTTAAGATGTTCTCTTCCTGACTTACCCCTGTTTTCCTGACAGCCTTGAAACCACAAAGTTAGGCTGCCCAGCTCCATTACCATGTGAGGCTGGCATCGGGAAATGCCGAATCCGCATGACTCAGTTACACTTACCACTGCAGATTTAGATCTCAGTGTTTCACGCTTTTACACATACAGTATGTCCCTCTGGACTGCAGATTGAGACCAGGTGGTTACTGTTTTTAGTTCACAAAGATTCAAATCTCATGAAGCTTTGTTCAGAAGGAATACATATTGGTAGGCACTTAATAATCTCTATCTATGAGATAAAACGGCAGGGTACCGGCAGAAGCAAAACAGAGGTACACAATACAAAACTTGATATTAACCTAAACAAAAAGCTGTTTTTAAAAAAAGTTATGGGAAGCTATGATCCTCTGAATTCACTTCTGAAGAGGAAAATAAGTGGTGTTCTAGGGTCATAAAGGACAATGAATTCTGAATGAGAACTGCAACCTGTTTTTAACTTTTGTCTGTAGTAAGAGGGCAGAGGTGTGAGGGATAGCATGGACAGAAATAGAGGGAAAAAAGATGAAGTTAACATTGGCAAGCAACAACACCATGTTTTGGTATCTACAACACTACTCTGGGAGGGCAAGAAATAAGTGGAAGGATTAATTCAACATTTATTAATAATTGCTTACTCATCAAGCTATGCACTAGGACTGAGGAGAGAAAGGGTAAAAATTAGATATTGCCATTTTATGATTCCAATGGTAAAATGAAAATTATACAACTTTTGTGACCTATCTACCTTGGGCTGATTTCCTTTAGTTCCTTGTCTCTAACCATCCCACAATTTCATTAAGACAGATTATCTGGGAATCTCTAGATCCCTTTTGATAGCAATTCTCTCATCCAAGTGGCAAAAAAATATGCATATAGTTAAATGGCTACAAATCCTCTGAGATTCCAGAAAAGCCAAGGAGGAAGCTAAAAAGAGCCTGTGCAACTACTAATTCCTGACAATACTCCAGGATAGTGCTTCTAATCTCTGCATCAACAAAGAGAACAGAGTTGGTCTATGGGAAAAAAAAAATCAAACAAAAATGTGTGTGCTTTTTCCATCAGTGGAGGAGAAATTAAGTTAAAAAGGCAGGTTTTCATTTTTTTTTCTTTTCCTACAGCTTTCCTTGAATCTAGGATACCTGCTGCTCAATGTCTGCCAACAAGTGCTAAAAGATGCTAAGATATACAATAGTGACTTCTTATTAATAGAAAAACTTGAAAATAATAAATTATATTTAGTTTGACAGTTTGGTTTTTTCTTCCCTTCTCTTTTCTTTCTTTCTTTCTTTTTTTTTTTTTGGTTATTGCTGCTTTGTACATATGTTTACAGAACCAACTTTAATAGGTATGTGTATAAAATTCAAATTTTCTCCTAATAAAACTGCTCCTGGATGGTAAGGTAGAATTAGGTACAACAATAGTTCACAAAGTGCAAACTGATTTCTGCAAAGTGCAAACTGATTTCCAGGTGCTCTGCCTCTGGGACTAATTTGAGAACCATGCCTAGACCACTGGAAACTTCCTGATAGTCACAGCCAGGTATATGGAAACATGAGAAGAGTCACAAACATAACTTCCTAACATCATGCTTGTGTAACCCTATTTAATAGAATAAGTTAATCTGAGCCAAGACTCATCTCTTTAAAACTCTGTTTAAATGTCAACACTACTCAGTCCACCCTATTTAAAACACAACTCCTCTTACTGTTTTTTCTTTTTCTTCATATAATGCATCATCTTTTCACAAAATATTCATTAATTAATTATGCTTTTGTTTGCCTTGCCCACCAGAATAAATGCTCTATGGCCAATTTTGTTTTGTTTGGCAATGTATTCAAAGTGCCTAGGGTAGTGTTCAATGCACAGCAAATGTGTCCTGAAGGAATGAATGAAAAGCTACAGTTCACCCTAATTCCATGACTAAATGGAATGCTTTGCTAGGTAAAGTGGGCAACAATTTACAAGCTAAAATCAGTACACTCCCTGAGGAATAATTTGATTTCTCCATATAATTATTATATTCAGATATTTTATAAATGCAGCCAGATTAGTTCTTCCTAATGTAGTCCCAGAGAAAAGATGTACACTAATAATACAAGACAATGAAAAGGGGCTTTTCAGTGACCCTAGAAATCTCAGTCACATACAAATGGCCCCAGGACATTCTTAAATAAGATATAGTATTAGAGTTATTTCTCTCCCTTGGTTCTCCAGAGGTCTGGCTAAGCATCTAAGATTACTGGTGCTCAAATATGTTTTCAAGTGAGCAGGATGCAGATTTGGAAAAGATCCACAACGTAGGCCTGATAAATTCCAAGACACCCAGCCAAACAGGCAGTTTCCAGGGGCAGCAGGTTACTGTTACTCTCTCCCTCTTTGCTGAGGGTGTAAATGTTAGAGAGAGGCAACTGCTCAGGCCAACAGACCAATATCTGATTGCTTTCCAGGGAGTCCAAGGGCACTGCACCTCTATTCCTGTACACATCCTTGATCCTCCAGAGTTTTAAGGCATACATGACCGGTGAGCATATAAGCTCTTACAAAGAAGCACATTTACCCTCTTTTCATTCCAAAGCAGAGAGAGGCAATAAGACCCCTTGAGCTAAACAGTCATTCCAGAGATCTGTCCACTGTGGCAATGAGTCACCAAAGTAGCCAATGAGGGGCCTGTGAGCAGTCTAAATTAGGCAAAGGATACTTAAAGCTCAATTACCCTAAGACTGGTTATTAATCAAATACTACAGGGATTCCAAAACACAGAATGAAGAAACAGAATTCAAAGTCAAAGGTGGGTGGGCCTTTCTTGTTTATTAATATTTATTGTGTGTGTTTAGCTAACCTTTGTAAACTTTGCAGCTAATGCGGCTCCACACTTTGTCCTGTCAAGGAAATGCATCTTATAGCAGAGAGCTGGCCATCTGCCAAACCAAACAATCCCTGAGACAGCAGCAGGCCTCAGAAGCAAGCAGAGCTGCCACGCTGCTAACTTGTCAAACATTCGTACTGGGCTTTGCTCAACAACAATGGACACGTGCCTGCTAGAAGCCTAAGGAGCCATTAGAAGACAGATGAGCTATAAATACTTAGAGTGCAATCACTCAGTCAACCAACCAGCCCAAACTCCCTCATCCTGTTCCTCAAGAGGTGCTTCTTTGGCAAAACATTCAGATCTACAGATTTCTTGAGTAATGCAGCAGATGGAAGGTAGGAAGCACATGTGAGTCAAAGGATCAGGGAAGAACATCAAGACACCAGATCTATATGATCAAAGGCAACACCCTCACATTGCATCATGAGATTCAAATGGTAGAAGGCCACTGCAATGCAAAGAAGTAGATTCTGAAATTAGCCTACATATTTTAATATGATCTGTTTAATTAAATTGATAAAGCATTTTATTCTGGCACTAATCAATTTCATCTTACCAAACTATGACGTTTCCTTTAGCTGCCAAAACTGAACTCCGTTTTAATAAAAAATTAGTTTTACTCTTTAAACCAAAGCCCACTCTCATTTTAGCTTTAGAACTTGGTGGTACAGAGCAACCATAAATGGCCCAAAATGTACTGAGCTCCAAGAGCCACTAGGACATGATAACCAGGGTTGGAGGCTACAAGTAAGATGGTCAGAAGGAGTTATAAGAACTAAATGTGCTCAACACAGAGATCTCTCCTCCCTGGAAAGACCAAAAGAAAGGGGGGAGGGGTGGGCTGTGAACAAAGAAGCACTGTGTACAATCAGCAGTGGCACAATTCCAATACAGGAATTTTAAATTACCCATTAGCAAAAGTGAAACGGCCACAAAAAATTCCAAATAATTTATTTCTGTGGTTTTTGGTTTACTTTAAGTGAAATCATGGAAGCAAATAAAGAAAGGAGGATGAGGAAACCAAAAAGAGAAATGGACTTATATTTTAGGACATAGTAGAAAGGGAAATATTAGGTTTCCAAAACTTAATTTAATGAAATTGAGCCCTCACAACAATACTTCAAAATTATTAATCTCATCCAGTTCATGGGTGAAGAAACTGAGGCTTTGGGTGGTAATTTTTCCAAGGTAACATGATTTACACATAGGGGACCTGGTTTGGATGGGAAGGTTTCTCTCATTCCATGGTTCATTCCCTTAAAATATTTAACTATGCAAGGTCCCTTTTGAAAGATGGGGAAGAAGGAAGGTGGGATATTTTTCATCATTTCCAAACTCACCTAACTTAGAAATCTTTACAAGCTTATATTAAAATATAGCTGGGAATGGGAGCTGGGGATGTGGCTCAGTGGTAGAGTGCTTGCTTAGCATTTATAAGGCCCTGGGTTTATTCCCCAGAAACTTTGAGGTGGAGGGTAGTAGATAGTATCACTAAAGCCATAAAAACAAAAGCACACCAGTTCACAATGTTACTATAAAAGAAGTCAATGCCTGTACAACATCTTAGATGTCTGTATTGTACATATCCAAACACCACCCTCATTCTACTATACATGCTAAAAGAAGCCCAACATCCTTCATAATTTTATGCCTTAAACATGATTATGTTGAAACACCATTTCCTGATCCTTCCCAGCTGCTGACCCACACTGTAAACCAAACTCCATCTGTTTTTTTCATGTTTGGTTTCTGTTATAGAGTACAAGAATAGTTAAGCTAACACAGTGATTCTTGGGAGAACAAGCATTTTTAGATTTTTCAAATAAAGAGCCTGACACCTGTCTGTGAAGTAGAATGTCACACAATTTTGTAGACTTATATTAAAGAAGACTTATATAAAATAAGCCTTAGAGTTATGGACATCCTTAGGACTATCC